GCGAAAAAATGTCACATAATTGTCAATTATCCGGAGGGTATATGCGAAATTGTTACGCATATTAGTAAATTATGCGATTGACTTGGATATGCAATTACCAGAAAATGCGTGTTCAACAAACTATGCGAAATAGATGCGAAATAGTTTCACAGTCATATAGCCCTGCGAAAAGAAGGCGCATAATCATCGTAAATTATGCTGCATTCGATATGTATATACGATTATTAAAAATGCGAAAGATGTTCGCACATTTGTAATTATGCGTTTGATGTGGATATACGATTAAAAAATGCGAAATGTTTACGCATAGTCAGAAATTATGCGGCCGATTGGATATGCGCTGGTTCATTTGGACATGCGAGTGTAATATCGCATAGCATTTCGTGAATTATGGGGTGTAAAAGAAGTTATTTGATGGGGTGGTGTGAAAAAGAAAGAATAGATATATAATGGGGTGAAAAAGATTTTGACCCATATCTTAACATATAAAAATGAATTGATAGATGATGTTTGGTTTGACTTTATAAAACAGAACGTTGATGCATACTTGGGGATTATGCAAAGTAATCCACTCTTTTTGGACTTCCAGCCACGGGTAGATATGTTGGGCACTTACACCATCGTGCCAACTACGTTTCTTGTGAGATTATTTTAATCCTCTCTCTTTTCCTTGTCATTCCATTTTTATCAATAAATATATTAATAACATTATTATTTATTACTATTATGTTGTATTTTATATAGATGATGCTGGAGGACTTGGAGAAGGAGATCAATAAGGGGGGACTGGACCCGGACTCGGAGATCCTCAATTCTTTGATTCGTATTGCGACTGAGGGGGTCAGCAGTTGGGGTAATCCGTGTCCTTGGAGGGAGATTCAATATGTAAGTTTTCAATGATTCCGAATCAATTAATATTGTAATCTTTCCTAAAAAATTAGTGAATTTCTCACAACTCAATGCAACAGATTATTGGAGTAGTGAATTTGACCGGCCACTACGTGACTGTCCAGATCTCGTTACACAAGGGGAGGATACGTTTGTTTGACTCTCTAAGGCATACGTATTTAGAAAAGAAGAACGAGCACATTCGCGAAAATCGCATCAAAGGACTACAAAAAATCCAAAATCTAATTCCAGTGATTGCGACGTATGCGGAAGTAGGGGGAATGAACCAAAAGTTTGAATTGTAATTCATGGACCCCAAAAATACTATCTTGCAACATGATAAAATTTCTTGTGGTGTATGCGCTGTGGAGATGGTACGAACATTGCTCACGAGGACGATGTGTTTCAAGAAGTCTAACCATCAGTTGGTTAAAACAATGAGGCACAAAATTGCTCTAAAAATTTTTCAGTTTAGTACAGAACCAGACACAATTACCGCCCCAGTTCTTTAATGATTCATGTAATACATTTTTATTATTATTATTATTTTTTTTTTGCATTTTATTATAAATTTATTGTTTGTTGTATGTATGTGGCATTTCTATTTTCTCATACCTGAAACAAAAAAAGTTAAACTAAATTAAACGATGAAAAATGAAAGAAATAAAAAATAAACTTTCGAGTAGAGTGCGAAGGTGGTATGAGAGAAATATGCGACAATTCGCATACACCATCTCATAACTGAAATAACTGAAAGATGAAAGAAATAAAAAATAAATTTTCGCATAGAAGTGCGAAGGTGGTATGCGGCAATTCGCATACCCCATCGCATAACTGAAATAACTGAAAGATGAAAGAAATAAAAAATAAAAACTTTCGAGTAGAAGTACGGTGGTGGTATACGAGCAATATGCGTAAATTCGCATACCCATCGCATCACTGAAATAACTGAAAGATTAAAGAAATAAAAAATAAATTTTTGAATAGAAGTGCGTAGGTGGTATGCGGAAATCCGCATACCCCATCGCATAACTGAAAGATGAAAGAAATAAAAAAATAAACTTTAAAGTAGAAGTCCGAAGGTGGTATGCGACGAATATGCGAAAAATCGCATACCTCATCGCATAACTGAAATAACTGAAAGATGAAAGAAATAAAAAATAAACTTTCGATTAGAAGTGCGAAGGTGGCAATTCGAATACACCCTCGCATAACTGAAAGATAAAAGAAACACGAAATAAACTTATTAAACTTATTATGCACCAACTCTGCGAATACTATGCGACGTTGGTATGTCACAGTTGTGTCGCAGAAAAATTTTTTAGACTAATAGTCGCAGATTCATTCGCCTAACAAAAATAATTATTTAATGGGCGACGGACCGCGATTGACCGAATCGTACATCAAATCTCTGAATATTCATCGTAGAACAGTCGCATAATTTAACTCATAATTTTCTCGCCCATGCTCATACCTGTCGCCTATTTAGCGCATAGTTCATCGCATATGTCTTCGTACTTTTTGGGGTGTAAAACTTAGCTTTTTATTCGGTGGTGTGAAAAACATAGTATGACTTCAGAACGGGGTGAAAATAGCTATTTCCACTAGTGAAAATATCTATTTTCACCCCGTTTTGAAATCTTGTTAAATTTTTCACACCGCCCAATAAAAAGTTAAGTTTTTCACCATAGAAAGTGCGAAGGTTATGCGAAAAATGTCGAATATTCATCGCATAACTGTCCATATGCGAAGGTTATGTGAAAAATTGTCGCATAACTGTCACATATCAATTGCATAATTGTGCGAAGGTTATGCGAAAAGTCGCATATTCATCGCATAACTGTCCATATGCGAAGGTTATGCGAAAAACTGTCGCATAACTGTCGCATATCAATTGCATAACTGTGCAATTGATATGCGACAGTTATGCGGCAGTTTTTCGCATACATTCGCATACAGACAGTTATGTGATGAATATGTGACAGTTTTCGCATAACCTTCGCACTTTCTGGGGTGAAAAACTTAGCTTTTTATTGAGTGCTGGGAAAAACTTAATTGGTCTTTGTTATGGGGTGAAAAAGACTTTTTCCCTAGATATAGATATAGATTTTATTAGGGATGAAAACGATCGGAAACGATCGGTATAGGGCTCAACCATTTCCACTTTCATATTTTTTTCTCGAAAACGAAAATGATACGGTAATGTCGGAAATGGAAACGACATCGGTATTCCGGTAATATCGAAAACGAAACTATCCGATCGAAAATACATCGATAACGATCGAAATATATTAAAACGGTATTTAAAAAACGATAAACACACCACATTATAAAATATAGCATTAAAACATTAATTGAAATATTCTCATGGCATAATAGTAGCAAAATCCAAATTAAAATCCACACTATTTGCTATAAGAAAATCCATACAAATTCAAATAACTAGCAATTGAATTGTGACTTGTCCACCAAAGTGGGGTAGGCGGCGGCAGCTGGAGCCTGTAGCGGCTGGTGCGATTGCGACGTTGATGGGAGTGGAGCGCGGCAGCGACGAGCAGGTGACGAGAGTGACGACGAGCAGGAGTGGCGAATTGCGATGGCCGTCGGCCGATGGAAGAGATGACAGACTCCCAGACGAGACTCGAGAGTGAAGACCGAACGGGATGAAGGGGATTTGGGCACTGTAGATGCGGTTGCGACGGTGATGGGAGTGGGGCGCGGCGGCGACGAGCAAGTGACGGGAGTGGCGACGAGCAGACGACGAGCAGATGGGAGAGACGACAAACTCCCAGACGAGACTCGAGAGTGAAGATCGAAAGGGATGAAGGGGATTTCAGGATTTGGGCACTGTAGAAGGGTTGGGCTAAAGGGGATTTGGGCATTTGGCCCATTTCGGATTTGGATTAGGCTTTATAATTAAAAGTGAGCCTAGTATGGGTTGGGCCGGTATTACCGACGGTAAAATACCGTTTAAATACGGTAATTTTCGAAAACGATCGGAAAAGGGCTAAACCATTTTCGTTTTCATTTTCAAATTTTTTTACCGTTTCCATTTCCGTTTTTCCGGTTACCGTTTCCGTTTCCGTTTAGCCTCCAAATCCGAAAAAATTTCGAAAACGATTCCCGGTATTCGAAAATTACTGTTTCCGTTTTCATCCCTAAATTTTATGCTTTGGTCAGTGTATGAGATGATTTCCTCATTAAACATCTCTTTATGTTGTGCTGTATTAATAGAAGATACCGCCCCACCTATCTGCGGGCTTGGAAAAGAGCCCAGCCCACCCTTCCTCCCAAAAGACACTCAGCCCAACCCATTAGGGTTTTAATTTCCTCCAATTATTTAAAGTTTAAATTGACTTAGGGTTTTTCCGGTGCAAAGGTTGTTGGCCTCCACACCATCTGTTCTGTGTTAGAGGGGGAAAAAACACAGAGAAAATGAAGGCCATTCTCTCGTCTGACAGCATGGACATCCCCGACGGCGTGAAGATCAAGGTGAACGCCAAGGTGATCGATGTTGAGGGACCGAGGGGTAAGCTCTCTCGCAACTTCAAGCATTTAAACCTCGATTTCCAGCTGATAAAGGACGAGGCCACCGGAAAGCAGAAGTTGAAGGTCGACGCCTGGTTCAGTAGCCGGAAAACCACCGCCGCCATACGCACAGCCCTCAGTCACGTCACCAATCTGATCAACGGTGTTACAAAGGGATACCGTTACAAGATGCGTTTTGTCTATGCCCACTTTCCGATCAATGCGTCCATCACCAACAACGGCACCGCCATTGAGATCCGTAACTTCCTTGGCGAGAAGAAGGTATGCGAGAATTCTAGTTTGTTGTTTATCTTTGTGCATTTCGTACTGGGATGAAAGTTATTGTTCGTGAATTTTTTTATCTTGTGAATTATTTATTAATTATTTGGTGTTGAATGTCGACTTAACTGGATTTCATGTTTTGAACGTGACTCTGCTGGAAAGTGATTTGCTGCTTCAAACTATAAAGAAGCAACTGAAATCAATCAGCCAATGAATTAGTATTCCATCGATAGATGTTAAATTGAAATTTCATAGAGTATAACTATTAGTGACATCCTAACATTTTTGGTGCGTGTTTACTGTTGTAATTCTTTGGACTACTGATATGAGCCCAGCTTAACTTTCTTGGATTCTTGTGCTGTGTGCTTGAGTATTAGATTTTTGTATGTCAAATTTTTATCAATTGTGATATCCCTGCATAAACTAGGTAAGGAAGGTGGATATGCTTCAAGGAGTTAACATTTTCCGGTCTGAGAAGGTTAAGGATGAGTTGGTTTTGGATGGAAATGACATTGAGCTCGTTTCTCGTTCTGCGGCCTTGATAAATCAGGTATACTTGTGATACAGAATTGAACTTCTTCTTACTACAAGTTACCTTATGTGAACTGTAATCTAATGGTTTTGTTCATTTTGACAGAAATGCCATGTGAAGAACAAAGATATAAGGAAGTTCCTTGATGGCATCTACGTGAGCGAGAAGGGTGCTATTGCAGGAGAGGAATAAGTAAAGTTCAAGTATGAGTTTATCATTGTTGCGTAGTTTCTACCTTGAAATGCGGTGCCCTGTTTTTAGTTCTTGTTGTTTTGAGACTTGTTATAGATGTATTCGAAGCTGAATTTACAGTTTTTGCGTAGGGAGTTGTGCTTAAAGGATTTGTGTTATGGTCATTTTGATGTTAGAAACTGTTTTGCCGATGCAAATGCGAGTTGTTGCCTTTAATCTCCCCTTGAATCGTTTTCAAATTGGAGTGTTTTTTTGAGTATTTGATGTTTGCAAGTTTTGAATTTGATTAATGTCGTATATATAGTATTTTTCCATAGGACCGTCTACATTTTTTGT